CTAAAAGCCTCCATAAGGCAATGCGCGGCCATTTTGATGAAGGAGCGGGGCTTCAGGAGGCAGAAAATATGGTATTCAGTGTATAAGACACACCCAGATTTTCAGCCTCTTTTCTGAGGCAAAAAGGTGCGTCTTATACTCCAAAAAAATACGGTAGGCCTTTACTACCACAATTAATATATCTGAAGGTATGCAAAGGATGTAATAATGTAGAAGGAGATCTTCCAAACTTTAGAAAATGCTTGTCTACTCATTTTCTCTAAAAAATTGTTGACACATCAAGAAAACTTAACTGAATTATTTGAACCTAATTAAATATAATATATATATATATATTATTTCTAGGGAGGGAAAATCCCAATCCGATGGACAGCTCCTGAAGCTATAGCTTTCCGCAAATTTACGTCTGCTAGTGATGTCTGGAGCTATGGGATTGTGATGTGGGAAGTAGTGTCCTATGGAGAGAGACCCTACTGGGAGATGACCAATCAAGATGTAAATATTTCCTTTTCCTTCTCTTTGTGAAAACCTTCAAATCAGGATGTCACACATATTAATTATTTTCTTTTTTTAATTTTAAAGGCCTCTATATATACAGTTACAAGTAATGTCCAAAGAGTCCATTCTGAGAATAGTATGGAATGTTCAAATGAGTAAAATAGAGAAGAGAAGTAAGACTAATGAATAAAAAGATAAGGTTCTTGTATCAGGCACAGCAGCTGATTTTGGGGTTGTTTCAATTTGAAATTCTGAGTGGTAAACATAAGATTAACATATTCTGAACCACTGGGCTATCAAATAAAACGTGACCAAAACTGGCTTGGAGCATCAGCTGTCAGAATCAAATCATAATGCAAGTAGACAGGCCTTAGTAGTACAGAATATGGAACAGCTCCCAATCCAAATCTGGGCTGTCATCACTACTTGAACCCACAGGCAACTGCCTTGACGCACTACTGGTATCTCCCTGTAGAAAAACAAAGATCTGTTCCCAACACTCTGACCAAGCTTGGATAGTTGATTCTACTATTTAATATTTCTAACCCTTTCCTGGAATGGTGCTCTTTTGAGAATATTTATTTATTTATTTATTTATTTATTTATTTATTTATTTATTTATTTATTTATTTATTTATTTATTTAATTTATTTTATTTATAGGCCGCCCAATCCCGAAGGACTCCGGGCGGCTTACAAAGAAGGGAGAAAAAAGAAAATAAAAATAAAAAGAATAGTTTAAAATTCACAACACGCATTTGTTCTAATCGGGGCTGGACCTTAACATTGAGGTCAACAGCCCCAGGCCTGCTGGAACAGCCAGATTTTTACAGCTTTCCTGAAGGCCATCAGAGTGGGTATGGTCCGGATCTCTG